ATTTGATTTCCGGTTTCTTTTAGAGTCTAGTTCAGTTCTGACATTCTAACGTCTCCACCTAAACTCTGAAATTTTATTTACTATTCATTAATTTTTCCTCAATAGGAGTAGATAGGTTCGTCTATCATCTGGTCCACTCTTATCCCTTCTTTCCTATTTAGGATTGTATTTCTAGTTCGTTGTAAAGTTTTCTAATTCTCTTTTATTTGAAGTAGCTTCTTAGAATAATAATTTTATTAAAGTGTCAACAATCGTCCTAGATGGAGAAGTTCTATAAAGAAAAATTGGTTCGATTCCAGTCGGAGGCACATTTTTTTTTCTTATACATACATGCATACATATATACACGGGGATGGTCTCTTCTTGACAGAAGAAGATCATCTTCGCAATATATTTCTTTCTTTCTTTTTTTTTTATATAACTTTCAGATTCGCCGTTCATGAGACCACAGATGACTTTTTAAACCAGCCTTACTTTTACAAGCTTTTGGGCAAATGTTGCACCAGAAATGGAGACCCCTAAGCCCAACAGGCACGACAATGTGAATTTTCATGTGGCTTGTTGATTCAGAATTTGACACAAATGAAATTTTAATGTAAACACACACAGATATATATATATATATATATATATATATATATATATATATATATATATATATATATAATAGATGGCCACTGCCATTCTGAGGATACCGTCTACTTCTGAATTCATTGCTAGCCCACCTATCGACTATCTACTGAATTTCACTCACAAGGTTTAGGTCAACCAGTGGTATAGCTTTATATATATTTATATATATATATATATATATATATATAAGACATTTTTTTTATGTTTATACATTCTTTTTAATAGATACAAATATTTAACAAATATATATATTTATAATAAATATATTAAATAACATTTACGAGGCCTGAATGTCTGAGAAATTTTCATCAAACAACATGTAAATGTTGTTAATACTGTTTATTATAAACACTATTTGAATAAATATTTGTATCTATAAAAAGAATGTTATAAAAAAATCTTCAAAATAATTGTCGGACGTTGTCCATTTAATAAATGAGCATACGCGCACACACACAAACAGATATATATATATATATATATATATATATATATATATATATATATAAAATATATATATAGAAAATCAGCCGATTTTTTTACGTTGATTTAATGTCCCCTCGATATGAAATGATTTTGTCTATATGATAAAATTTAAATACATATATATATATATATATATATATATATAATATATAATATAATATAAAAGACCCAAACACTAATATTCCATGGTTATAACTTATTACAATGGAATCGTAACCACGATCCAATTCATCAGACCTACGAATTCAAAAAGAAGAGTACATATTTTCTTATATTCGTCTCATCTGCTTGATGAGTCCTCGTAATTCTTATTCTGCTTTTGATTTCTTTTCTATGCCAACAATGAGAACTTTTGTGGCCATTTTTTTACATGATAGACAAGTTTTTAAACGACCTGTACAGTCTTTAACCCAATGCCAAGACCCAAAACGATAGCATAGACTGGAGGGTAGTTATTTTTTTATGTTGATTATAATTAGAAAATTTTGTTTTACCTGTTCTTCAGGCGGGAAAATCGGTTCGTTTTGTTTTTGAGAGGACCGGGAAAATTTGTTTTGCCTTCGTACTTCAGCAAAGACTACCTGTGCTATGCCAACTTTTTCTAAAGGTCTTTTGGATCTTTCTTCACACTGATGTATCTCTGGCAGTCTTCGGCTAGTTTTGAAGTGTCTAGATCTTGTTCACTCTCCAATTTAGTAAGTATTCTGCGTCTCATTTCCGCGTCTTTGGTTGAAACCAGGCTTTGGACGTAAATTAAGCATTTGAAATTGTTTGCTGAGTTCTGATAATCTGAAGTCGAGGAAGCAATTTTTTGTTAACAATGGATGCGAACTTTTGTAATTTTCTTCCTTCCTTTTCGTAAAGGTTCAATCATTTTCCATCTTTTATGGAATAGTAAATATTACATTTGAAAAGTTCCGTTAGCAGTTTTATGGATTCTTTGAACGTTTGTCTCGCTATTTTTTCGCCTAAAGGATATAATTTACTAATTTGGTATAAGCTGTTGTTGCCTTTTTTTTTTAGTAATAAGCGTACTTTACGTGCGTCTGACCAATCTCTGCTGTCAAAATCATGTGAAAATTAAAACCTTCGGAATTTTTTTTATCCAAAGTTTTATCTTCGACGGGTGCGTACTTAAAAATCTTCGTCCGATTATTTTTTTAAAGTGTCTTGAGAAAGAGAACTTTTTCGTTCTCAATTTTTTTGAATATTTGTCACTGCACATAACAATAATTTTGTAATTCCAGATGTTTCTGTTCGTACCTTTGTTGCTGTTCAAATTGGATTTTGATAAGTTCCATAATGGTTGACTAAAAAATCTTCCATGTTAACGTATTTTTTTGTAACCTGATATTCTGTAGCCTGTGCACGCAAAAAAAAAAAAACACAAAAAAAAAAAAAAAAAAACTTTCCTTTGTTGTCAGTGAAAATTTTATATCAAAAAAAGAAATGTTTTTTTTTTTTAGGAATAGAGTTTCGTATTACCCTTTAAAAATCACGTCGCCAATTATTTCGACAAAAATCGACGGAAAATCAAAAAAAAAAAAAAAAAAAAAAAAGGTATGTCCTCCGCGCGGAGAGTTGGTTTCTTCGTCGCCACTTGCTATACTGTGGCGAAGGAATTTGTTTTTTTTGTTCTTCCACCGAATGAATTCGAATCTTCGTCGCCACTTGTTATGGTCCGGTTCCTTGTGCCACGGTGATAGTCCAAGGTAGAACCAATAAAGAAGAACGCGAACACAGATATGGAATAACACAGATATATTACAAACAGGAATATATACAGAGAAGTAGAAGTGTTAGTATGAACAATCAGGTTTAGTAGAGAGAACAATGTAGTCTCGACCAGTATCACTATTCCAATGTATTGCAGTAATTGTCTGAAAGCGACTCTGTTTCGAACTGCCTCTGACTCGACTCTTGACTCGACTTGAACTACTGACTCACTGAATGACCACTGAATGACCCTTGCCTAATCCTGAGGCGCAGTATTTATTAAGTATGGAATAGTCCATTACTATTATTATGGGTAAGATCCCATAACAATTATAGCTATTAGGGAAGCAAGTAAGAGGAAGAGAGTTTCACTGTCGGGAAGTGCGAGATAAGATGTTTAACCGTTTCGACAGTGAAAAGTTGGGAATGAGATGCCAACCTAGTAAGACGCTTAAATTCATGCAGTTGGAGTGCCAGTGAGAGTAGCTCGTCAGCGCAGTTGCCCTGAAAATAATTGTAGAAAAGACGGAGGGTAGCTACAGCACGTTCGCGAAAGAGTGTCTGTAGACGGGATGCCAGGTCAGGACCTATCATATTGTATATCCATCTCTGGATTTTGACGAGGAATTCGAGATGAACAGCGGGGGCACCAATTCATACATGGCAGCAGTATTTAATGTAAGGACGAATGGTTGATTTGTAGATTTGAAGGCGAGAAAAACCTTCTGGTCCGACACAGAGAACCAACTTTCCTTGCGGTAGATGAAGCTATTGATTCAATGTTGTTGTTTCCACCTCAGGTCGGTGGAAAACGTGAGACCAAGAAGACGCAGAGAGACGCT